GCCTACAGTGAGCAGAGGCCGGGGGCTAGCGTGAGGAACGGCAGGAGGGTAAGAGTGAGCAGAGACGGGTGGGCTTGAGAACGGCGCGGTCGGCGATTTCGACGAAGGAGCGTCTGGAAGGACATGTGACGACTCCGGGCTGGACTCCGCTTCGTAGGCGATTGACAGCGCAAAGTTGTAGTATTTCCTCAGCAACCAGCATGGATCAGCTCCAGGCATGACAAAGCAGATATCGTCCTCTTTTGGAAGACCAAACAAAGTAGTTTCGCTTTCACAACGAAGCACACAGCGTCTTTACGACATGGCGGAAACATCAAAACTACAGCGAGAATAAAAGTTACGCCTTCTTTCTTTGCGTGAACATTTGGGCAGTGTTATGCAAATCTTCCCTCATAGTGACGTAGGTATGTGGGGGGCGTGTTAGAACGAGCCATTTTAGGAAGGCGTGGCTGACTCTTAACTTTTATAAAGAATATCTCTTTGGATTTGAGACTTTAGTCTTTGCAGCTTTACAGATCTTCTTTATGCACCAAGAGCTTGTAACACTCCAAAGAGAAAGGAAAAAATGAAATCGCATCATATGACCCCTTTAATAAGTGCAGTCTGACTATGATTTGACTGAAACATTGTTTGCTATACGTTTCCTTGGTCCAATACAACACAGTACAAAGAAAATATTAGGCTTTTGCCAGCATTATTGATCAATCCACAAATATCAAGATGTTTTAGGGATCCATTGGGGTCAGTTTGGCAGTTTTCAAACGTCTAAATTGTATAGGCTAATTGGTTAACAAACAAAACCCAGTTGTGCATGTACTGCTTCAAATCGGTCATCATGACATTACCTAACACACACACCCACTGCAGATTCAGCTGATGCTGATGTTGACGTTGCCTGCCGCACTTTTAGCCAGTCATGACGAGGAATCAGCAAACAGATGTGATGATTCATGAGGGTTTTTTTTAGTGCGATAAGGGATCAGAATTTGAATGTACAGCTGTATATTCAAGCGATCACAATGCCAGAGTGGCCTAAATTTAAGTTACATGGTAAAGAGTGGGAGAGTGACTCAACTCTCAAAACGTGAATTACACCTTTGGAGGGAGATCACATAAAGGCTCTAACATCATTGTAACTCTGAAATCAGAGCACAGTTGAATAATTTAATCAAAATTTAAACTGCTGGACTTGACTAGTTTTGACTGTGCGAAGTTCTGTATTATGTTCTACAATATCTACTTCACGAAAAACTTCCTCTAGTTCTGTCTGAAGTTAAAGTGCGACACGAAGGTAAACGTATTACTGTTAATATTTTTATTTTTTATTTTTTGGATTACCGTATAGTAATGTATCAATAAAATGACGCAGTTTTGACTGTCATGGTGTGTGCCTGAATGAGTGTGAAACCTGCAATGTTGCATATTCCGATCACTTATAATGGGCACTTTTTGCATTTAAACTGCCTTACTCTGACTGTTGACATTGAAAATTATGCACGTGTTTTTTTTTTTTTCAAGGGTATCGGTTAATTTCTTGATCGCTGTTTTGACATGGTGTTTGCCTGCATATTTTAGACATATTTAGGGATGTAACGATTAACCACGAGCCGGTTGAAAATATGTGACGATTCAAATCGGTTGAGATGCTAAACAAATCGCGATTCATTTAGGGGTAGGAGTTTATATGAATGTATGTCTGAGGGGAACTTACTGTCTTTAGAAAAGGTTAGATGGTATTTTTTTCTTTTCATCTTGCTTCTGTATAATGCATATTGAAGTTCATAAGTGCAGCGCTGCTTTGTTTACAGCAGAAACCAAGGAAATGCTTTAAGCGCCACCTGCTGGCAGAGAGTTAGAAACTGCATAGTTTCACAAAACTGAAGTCAAACCATTCTGTTTTTGCTTCAAATTTCGAAATTATACAATCTAATTTAGATTAAAAACTGCTCATGTTGCATGTATGCAGCATCTTTGTTTGGATCATGATTAAAATGCTGTGGTTGCCTCTAATTTTAAATGGAAAAAGCACAGACAAAGCCTTAGTTTGTTTATATGAAGAGATTTTATTTTATTTGTGTTACTTATTTATTTGATTTGGGGCTTGTTTTAACATTTCAATTTAGTTTCGTTATTTACATTTACATTATATTTAAATTTTGTTATTTAGCAGACGCTTTTATCCAAAGCGACTTACAAATGAGGACAACAGAAGCAATCAAAACCAACAAAAGAGCAACAATATACAAGTGCTATATTAGTATATTGTTATATTTCAATTTCACAAAGAAACATGCAGCATTTTGTCCAAGAAGTAATAAAATGACACATTTAATTTATAATTTGTCTTAAATCTCATTTTGTAAAAAAAAAAATAAAAAAAATCGTGAATTGAATCGAATCGTGAAATCAAAATCGTGAATCGAATCGAATCGAATCGTGAGTTGAGTGAATCGTTACATCCCTAGTCATATTTGGTAATTCTCTTTAATGTATCTGCCCTGATTTGATCCATTTTCCTGGGATATATATTTATTTTTATATTGTTTCGCCATCGTTATTTTGTTTTAAGGAGTTAAAAATGGTCCTTATCAACCTTGATTGAAATGGCAATAACATTCTATCACATTATTTTCACAGTTAAAATTTTTGGCGTTTTTTTAATTTTTTTTATGAAGTTGGGCGGGTTTTGGTGAACATTTGGGCTGGAAATTGTCCATCCAGTCTGGCAACACTGTTTGTAATCACTCTCGCGTGAGGCGCACAGCTGAAAAACAGTGCTTTGCAGAGGGGACGAAACTGAGCAGTGCATAGAAACACATTCAAGTTGTTTGCCGAATGTTATGTTGAACTTCCTTTTATGCATCTGTTTATAAGTTCTAAGAATAGACTTTCGGAATGAAACACTGAAACTCCATATACGATATAAGCATGTTATTTGTCAATATAAAAGCTGTATGACATCTTTTGACATGACAGCTGAAGAACTTGCAATTATGCTAGTTAGTGTGCAGATTAAATGGCAGACTATAGGCTACCTATTAATAAATAGCTAGATAAACCTGTCGAGGTTGCTAGTACTTCTAGTATACAATTGTACCTATTTCTGCCTAGTTTTGTTGGTATGAATTAATGTATTTAGGTTGATTCAGTGATATTAAATAATATTTTAGACTACAATGAAACCAATTAATCTAGACGTTACCATTTTTTCAGTGTACAAGATCAGCAATTTCTTTCTATTTAACTTGAATATGCAGAAGTACATTGTAAGCTTATTTTCTTCAGAATGAAGATTATATATACAGTATATGTATATATATATATGTATATATGTAATATTGAAATATAGATAATATAAAAATAGAAAAGTTATTTTAAATTGCAATTTTTCACAAGTTTCACAATATTTCGTCAGTTGCAGTGTATGTTAGGTACAGACATTGCTTTCAAAAAGGTCCTTTACTGCCATGATAATAAGTCTTTATTATTGCACATTCCCATTTTCGCTCCAAAATGTCTCATAATATGAAATCAACACCCTCTCATTCCTGTGTGTGTCTTCATGGGTTTATTTATAGACTTGTAAGGACACTCTGTTAGTATGAATACAAATGAGATATGTGCCCTTCAAAATATGCAGCACAAAAGCAGCCTCTGTTCTTATGCATAGTAGCACATTCACACCACTATATGGCGGCAGTGAGCTTTGATTGCAGTCAGCAGCATAGGTTCATGAACAAATATGAAAACCTAAAGAAAGATGTCCACTAAGAAATAGGAATGATACTTGTTTTTCATGTACAGAGATTGTTTTTTCCTCCCAAAGTTTGTTTGTCTCGCCATCTGATCCTCACTGCTCTTTATCTTTTGAGTTTGCATGTTTGCATACTTAAGGCTTCTTGTGTGCACAGCTCAGTTTTAGAAAACACAAAGTGCATGTGGTTGTTTTGAAGTGGAATCTGACTCCTTTGTATGAGATACAGGGTTCTTGTGTGTGTTTACATGCATTATTCTGCACGCTGAGTCAGTCTGTGGGTCTCAGTTTGGCTGCAGTTCTAGGTCAGACTCCCATCTCGCATTATTTGTGCTTGCTCAAAGACTGCGCCACATCTCCCACGTTGATACACCGCTGCTTCAGGGGTCCTATGTGGAGCGAGGGGCCCCAGCCAACAGCGCCTAAACAGCCAATTTGCAGTAATTAGCCTAAATTTGTAAGTGCACTGAAAATATCAGTGTGTGCATGTATCTGGTAGGTTTTTTGGTCCCAGGTGTTGTAGCTTTAATATTTAATGATGGTGTAAATTGTTTATAAAACACTTGATGTTTTTATAAATAATCCTGTGAAAAGGTTATTTTGATAGATTTTTGAGATCTCTTTAATGCATAAATGGTATGCAAGTTTTTACAGTATTAGATGCCATGTTTTTGGTGTGAGATCTATTAGATAACAATTGTAACATACCATTAATTTAACATAGCATGAAAGCAGCTGTAAATCAGTAATTCTCAACCAGTGTGGCGGGTCCCAATAGGAGCCCTCAGCAAATTTCCAAGGGGGCTGCATAATATTATTAATTAATGTATAAAAGTCTAACTTAAAATGCTAAACAAATACAATACAATAATACAAATACAAAACACAAAAAGTATATGTAAGTTTCAGTTCATCAGACAAATTTTTCAGATTTTAATCTGATTGATCTGATTTTAATTACCAATGTAACAATGCATGAACACGAGCCTGCTGTTGTTTTAAACAAATATTGTTGTGTTAACTGTTATTTATCAAGCTCAACCGTTCAACCCTGTTACCCAACTTATGTTAAGAAAAAATGATTGAATTAGATGTTGTTGTTTTTTTTCTTTAAATTGTTATATGTTTATAATTAACTGTAAACCAACATTTGGGATGAATTTGCAATTTTGTTACCCATTTTGGTATAGTTCGTAATTCTTAATTATATTTAGTGTAGTTCTTAATTATATATATTTTAAATATTTTAATTGTTTAATTTTTATTGCTAAAAAAATGACAAATATTATAAATAATGGCAATGGTTGACCATTGACTAGAAAATGTAACCATTCATATAATATTTTGCTTGACATTGTGAGGTTGATGATCAAAGTTTCAAACATTTTCTTCTTTCACTTTTTGTACTTTATTTGTGAAACATGTCAGTACTCTACACAGAGTTCAAAACTTTAAAGCTTAATAATGCCTTTTAGTATAGCCTATATATTTGCAACATTCACTCAAGAATGGAAAATTGCAATGTGTTTTCTTTAATTAGTAAGATATATTTAATAATTCATAGTCTCTTTTAGAACTGTTGTTTTGGCTGCAGTCTGTTCTTAATGCATTTCTATCAGAGACAATTCAGTTCAATTCTTGAAGTCGCGCGCACACAGTGAATGATAATATTGTCTCTCCTAGGCCTCTAATGATGTCTCCAGGACAGGAGTTTGTGTGTGTGTGTGTGTGTTTGTTTACGTAGGATGCTATTCTTCCTTTCTCTGACAGCTCCTCTGCTTTATTACATTCTTTTTCTCTCTCTGACCAATAGAATATCTGACACTTTTACCCTTCTTTGCCCTCTCGGTCTCTTCTACCTTTCTTCCCCTTACCATCCCTTGTTCTTTCTGCGGCTATCTCATTTAGCGAACACACCATTGCCTGTGTCAGGTATTGCCGTCGTCCCATTGTGCATTTGTTGGGTGTGTTTATGTAGGTAACTGGCGGAATTCTGGGACTTAAGTGTGCAAGGGTCTTCGTTTCATGGGAGACTGACAGCTACTTAATGAGAATGAAAGTCACTTCGATAAAGTGTTTACACTCTGTGGGTGTTGGGCTTCTTTGACTGCTGATGTGGAGGGGGCTTGGATGTCATTGTTTTATTTGCTGTTTTTTTCCTTAAAGAATGTGAAAAGGATATTTTGAGATAAGCATTTCTTTGAGACGTGTCCAGGACATTTCCTTTTAAACTCTTTATAGCCTAAATAACTGATACTGTGACTTCCTCTTTCTGTATTCGTATAATGGAGCACACATGGAAACCAGGCAAGGGTTACACCAACCATTTGTAAGGTCTTTCTCAAATTGGGACATAAAGTTCACACTAGTAACTTAGTGACTACTAGTTTGGAACTCTGTTCTTTATTTGGGTGTACCATAATTCTTAATGAAGAAATAATCATGAAATAAAATGAGTATAATTAAAATTAATAAAATAAGGGCTAATAAATACACTATTGTTTGGGGTCAGTAAGATCAAAAAAAAGAAATTAATACTTTTATTCAGCAAAGATGCATGAAATGTATCAAACATGACAGTAAAGACATTGTTTACATTACGTTACATTTATATTTCAAATACATTTTTTAAAACTTTCATATTCATCCTGGGGAAAAAAAAATCGGTTTCCACAAAAAAAATGTTTTTAACATTGAGGATAAGAAGAAATATTTCTTAACACCAAATCAGCATATACAATGATTTCTGAGGGATCATGTGACACTGACTGGAAAAATGCCTGTTGAAAATTCAGCTCTTTTACTTTTAAAATATATTAAAATAGAAAACAGTTATTTTAAATTGTAATAATATTTCACAGTATTGCTGTTTTTTCAACTAAAGATTGACGTCTGTTAGGCAAAACATGCGTACTTATGTAATTTAATGTCTGTTATTTTACTCTAGTTGTTACTCCTGGTTTCAGCTAAATTTAATAATGCAACAATCAAATATTTAGTTGCAGCAACTATAAAGTTAGTGTAACCAGCCTCAGATTCTTAGTAATCATGTTCTCGCATTGCAATTTATGTTGGTCTTTGTACAACTGTTGGTCTAAATCCACATGCGTCAGGTAGATGTGGCTGTTGTATCATGTCTTACGGTATGAAACTTTAAAATGCAATGACAATTTAAAACAATTTTTAACGTTACCCTAACTATGAAAAATGAGCTGTCTCTTGTATGAACAGCCCCTTGTGTAGGTGTGCAGGAGACAAGATCGGTCTGTCTAAAAATATCTTTTTTTTTTTTTAATATATAATGTTTCATTTAATGTGATTTATAGATCTATTTTGAGGAAAAATCTGCTGCCAACTTGCATTGCTGACATCTTGAAAGGCTTCCTGTGTTCTAAAGGAATCTGATGGAGTTTAGCCAACTTAATGTCCTGTTTTTCTGAACACCAAGCACTTCCTCTCTCGCTGCCTCTCTCTTCCCTCCATGTTTTTTTGTGTTTGCGCTCTCTTTTATCTTGAATGTGTGTAGTTCAACTGCAGTTTCATAGCCAACACTGTTGACTTCTGTAGAAAAACAATGGGAGTCTCCACTCTTTACACGGAGTAATTTAGACTAGTTTTGACCAAATTTTAGATGTCTTTGTAATAAGTGAAGTGAAGTGTAGTGACATGTGGCCAAGTATGGTGACCCATACTCGGAATTAGTGCTCTCCATTTATCCCATCCAAAGTGCATACACACAGCAGTGAACACACACACACACCGTGAACACACACCCGGAGCAGTGGGCAGCCATTTTTTGCTGCGGCGCCTGGGGAGCAGTTGGGGTTCGGTGCCTTGCTCAAGGGCACCTCAGTCGTGGTATTGAAGGTGGGAGAGAGCGCTGTACATTCACTCCCCCCACCTACAATCCCTGCCGGTACGAGACTCGAACCCGCAACCTTTGGGTTACGAGTCCGACTCTCTAACCATTAGGTCACGACTTCCCAATAAAACACACCTGATTCAAATGATCAGCCAACTGAATGTTCACTCCCGATTCTACCTTCGGATTCCCCCCATTCTCCCAGACATTCATTTCTAATGTATGTCAAGGGCGGATCTGTACATTTTTTTATACAGTTTTTTTTATATATAAAATATTGAAACATATGGTAAAACAGCAATTAGAGGGCTTTTATAATGCTAACACAAGGATACACAAAGTAATAATATATGAAGAGTATGTTTACCCCCCCCCAAAAAAGCAAGGTAAATTAATGCAACATTTTTGTATTGATTCAAATCATTCTAATATTCTTGATGGTGGATTAATGATGTGATGCTCTTCGTTTTCCTTAAAATATCAGACCTGAAAAGGTTAGTTCTGTTAGTAAAATATCATTAGGATCAACCTCCCCAAAAATTTTATTTTTATGAATGATATTTATTAAAAATACTTTTTAACTTGAACATTATATTTAACATGATTAAGATGTTCACATATATTCAGGGTGTAAAGACAATTTGTTATTAGCTTACCGTTTACAGTTTTTAATCCCTTTATTTAAAGGGGTCATATGATGCGATTTCAAGTTTTCCTTTCTCTTTGGAGTGTTACAAGCTGATTGTGCATAGATAAGATCCCTAAAGTTGCAAAGACTAAAGTCTCAAAACCAAAGAGATATTCTTTATCAAAGTTAAGACTCTGCCACGCCCCCCTAAAACGCCTCGTTCTAACACGCCCCCACATATCTACCTCACTATGTGGAAATATTTGCATAATGCCGCCCAAATGTGCACGCAAAGAAAGAAGGCGTGGTTTCAGTAACCGCAGTTAGTGTTGAAGCAGCATGTCAGGGAGACGCTGTGTGTTTCTAGACGAAAGCAAAAGCACTTTATTTGGCCTTCCGAAAGTAGATGCATTTAGGAATCTTTAAGATTACTTACAACAGAACAGCAATGCATTTTATGGACGACCATTTCGTGAACCTAGGAGAGGAGGTCATTCTGACTTTGCTATGACAATCTGGCGCTTCTGAATCAGCTACTGTTTTGTTATTAGTTTAAGTATTTGCTATTGACTGTTCAAATGCGGAGTTTTGCGCATTGTGTGTGTGCGTGTGTGTGTGCGAGAGAGCGAGAGAGCGAGAGAGAGAGAGTGAGACACATCACAGTGGAGTCAGCTGTCTTAACCGTGGCTTGTGTACTGCAAACACATATTCATCACTGTGTCTGTCACGAGACTCTGTTTCCCTTTCGGGCTCTGTCTTTACATTTTTTTTGAAAGATGAAGCTCGCAATTATGGTAAGGGGCGTTACATTTCCGACGAGTACTTGTGGTGTTCGGCCAATCACAATGCACTGGGTCAGCTGGCCAATCAGAGCAGACTGCACTTGTCAGAAGGAAGGACTTTGTAGAAAACGAAGCATTTGAGAGAGGCGGGGCATAGAGGACCTACAATAATGTACAGTATTTGAAAAATAATGTGTTTTTTGAACATTAAAGCATGTCAACATATTCTGTTACACCAAAAGCGTTTGAGAGAGGCGGGGCGTAGAGGACCTACAATTTTTGAATATTAAAGCATGTCAACATATTCTGTTACACCAAATACACAAAATAATGATCTTTAAAAAAGCATCATATGACCCCTTTATTTAATCCTGTTTTTCCCATTTGTCACGTCATTCTAGTCCAAATAAGAATAATATCCCATTAATTTGACCACTTTATGAGCACAGTTTACTGAAAATGACGCTATTCACAGAAATCTCTGCTTCATTGCTATGCAGTGTTCTATAAAGCTAGTCTGAGTTAGTAACGGTACCCAAGAGGTTTAGTAAAAACTGTTGTTTTGCCTTAATATGTCTTCTCAAATATGGTACGAGACAAAGTTGTTTTCTCAGTATATTGACGTTTTTTAGATGGAATAAGCAGCAATGCCACAGGACGCAGCGTAATTATAGGCTCCAAACTCACTCAAACAGACATTTTCCCATATTTGTGTGCAAGCCTGAATTTGAAACGTTATTGCTAGATTGGTAATGCTTGCCATCTATCTGTTGACAGAAGGAAGTTGGGCAACTGGTATCCAGACGGACTTAAAGAAGATGAATTGAAGCTTGGCTTTTGTTGCTAACATCTGTGACTCTGAGCTGTGTTGCGTAGCGACAGCTAGATGGCATCAGCATATTGAGTGACCTGCAGCAGGCTGGACTGAGGAGCTTTTGTCCACACTGATTCACCCTGCCTTTGCTGACATGAATATTCTAATACAAATCATATTTCATTTGATGGTTCAATGCAATTTAAGTGATTTCAATTTAGTATTACATTTTAATTCCATTCCTAGAAGGAGGTCCTTCCACATCAGATCCTGATGATGGTTTCTTGTTAGGGTTTTGGGCTGTAGCTCAGGTTATCTGGTGTAAATCTAATGCTCAATGTCAGATCAGTTGTGTGTTGTGCAGCTGGCCAAATCCTCTTTAAAATGCGGTCACGCCAAGAAACTTAATCCTGCTTATTCACCCCATCAGCCCCACTTCTTGTCCATCGCTAGGCCAGGGTGGCATCAGTAGCACTTCCCCCACAGATTTAGTGTTTTTTTGTTTTTTTTTCAAGCAAAACTGTCTGTATTAAATGATTTATACTATGCATTTTAACTGCAATATAATAAACAGTTTAAATTGTATATTGAATAAATACACCTAAAATTCTAAAATGTTTATATATATATATATATATACATATATACATACAAACAGTGGCACGAGAAAGTTTGGGAACCCCTTGCAGAAAATGTGAACAATTTTAACAAAATAAGAGAGATAATGCAAAATGCCTGTTTTTTTTTTTTTTAGTACTGTCCTGAGTAAGATATTTTACATAAAAGATGTTTACATTTAGTCCACAAGACACAAAAATAGCTGAAATTATTCAAATAACTCCATTCAAAAGTTTGGGAACCCTTGGTTCTTAATACTGTGTGTGGTTACCTGGATGATCTACCACTGTTTTTTGTTTGGTGATGGTTGTTCATGAGTCCCTTGTTTGTTCTGAACAGTTAAACTGAGCACTGTTTTTCAGAAAAATCCTCCAGGTCCTGCAGATTCTTCAGTTTTCCAGCATCTTTTGCATATTTGAACCCTTTCCAGCAGTGGCTGTATGATTTTGAGATCCATCTTTTCACACCGAGGACAATTGAGGGACTCAAACACAACTATTTAAAAAAGGTTCAAACATTCACTGATGCTCCAGAAGGAAACACGATGCATTAAGAGCATTAAGAACAGGACGAAGATGTCCCAATTTTTCTTATTTTGCTGAAATATAATTTTTTCCCATTTAGTATAGGAACAGTGCTCAGTTTAACAGTTCAGAACAAACAAGGGACTCATGAACAACCATCACAAAACAAAAAACAGTGGTAGATCATCCAGGTAACCACACACAGTATTAAGAACCAACAAACTTTTGAATGGGGTTATTTTTATTATTTCAGCTATTTTTTTGTCTTGTGGACTATATGTAAACGTCTTTTATGTAAAATATCTTACTCGGGACAGTACTAAATAAAAAAGAACATGCATTTTGTATGATCTCTCTTATTTTGTAAAAATGATTAACATTTTCACAGATTCTGCAAGGGGTTCCCATGTCACTGTATATGTATATGTATATATATATATATAGCGATTTGTGTTGGTCTAAACAGCTGCATTAATAGCCATTTATTCAAATTAAAATGTTTATCTCACAAATTTTTGGTGTAAAGAGCCCTTAACAATTGAACAAGATCATATTGCAATTTCCATGTTATTTTTAAAATTATTAGGCAGATTGCTTTCCTTACACCATATTTTCCTCAAACCTGTAAATTTGCACAAGATGCAATATCTAGACCCTGAGAGCGGAGTCAGTATTTTGGCAGTGTACTGCTGAATGTGAACCGTGAGTGAGTTCAGGATGTTTTTTTTATAGGCAGGTTGTTGTTGGAGGGAGGCTTGAGAGACCGAATGAGCATATGGTGTGATCTGTGAAGGGTGATTAAGGCTGGATGAAAGCAGGAGCACTGCAGGGATGGCCAGGGGGGTCTTGGCTCGGCTGCTGCCTCTACTGCTACTCTGATAGGAAATGGCATACTGTTCCTGCCCCACTTTGGTTGGCGTTGCGGTTGTGCAGTTCTGATAAGATTACAGACACATTTGGAATGTGCCTTATAGTACGTTTACACTGATTCAACAGGATCCGATCATGCGCTGTAATATGCGCTCATGCTCACAGGCAGAAGTGTGCGAGTGTGTGCATTTGTGAACTTGGCCTCTGAACTCCAGCCCTTCCTCCACCTGCTCATGAATATGTAATGTGTGTGCTAAATGCACTGAAACTACATGGCTCATGAATAATTAATGCTTGTATGTAACAACATGACTCAAATGCTAGTCTGAAGCCCTTGAGATGAAAAACCCCTTTAAAGCTGCTATAAATAGCGTCAAACACATTTGATCACTATATTAAGCCCTAGTTTGACCTTCAACCTTGCCTAGCAAGAAAGTGGTGTCTTAAAAGTTTTATAAATGTTTTGTGCACAGTACAATGTAGTATAAAAATCATAGACTGATACTAATGAATGTTTTTCTTTCTCTTTCATGCCATCTTGGTTTCCTCGTCGTTATCCTCAAAGGTAAGAGATGTTTTATTTATTAATTTATATCAAGTAAAGCTATCAAGTGCATTCTGTTTTTGCCCAATAATCCTCACCCAGGGCCCAGGCCCTCTAGAGAGCCTCAGCAATCTTCCAGGGGGCCACAGTATGACGTAAAAGTATTATATAATTAATAAATAAATTATTTATTTAAATAAATAAATATGTATCTTTATTATTATGATGTTACAACATTCAAACCCTAATTTAAATTAAATAAATAAATAAAGATCATATTTTTGAAGTTGGCATCACTGGTGTAATGCTAATGTTTAATGCTGTGACGCTGCTTTGAAACAATCTATAAAGTATAAATAAAGTTGACTTGACAAAATCAAGATGTAAACATCAATCAATCTGTATTCTGTTCTAGCATGAATTTCACATGTGAGAATGCGCAAACAGAGCACTATTGTTATTTTTAACTATTAAAAATAGTTTTCTTTAATTGAAAGCACAAATAAAATATAAATATTAGATGAAAAACATAATGTTAATAATAATTTAAATGATAAATATAAATAATACTAAATAACACTGAACTCATACACATTGATTTTTCTTAATGGTTGTGATTTATGATTGATAAAACACAGCAATTTTTAATGTTCTTTTTGGACAGACAAGTTTGTTATTGCTGAAATCTTCTTGTGTAAAGATTTATGACACAATGTTTGACTAAAATGCTAAAATATGTCATAAAAAGTGTTATTTCCTTGAAGATTTTTGATCTAAATCTATGTCCAAATATATTTGAGCAAATTTATATGCAACAATCTGGGAATGTTAGTTATATCTGCTGTTCTTGATGTTCATATGTTCCTATATGTATGCTGTTCCTTTATGTATGTTACCACCTGCTATTCCTGTGCTTCGTGTTATCTGATTTTACTGTTTTAATGTTATCTGTCACATTTAGCATTATCTGATAATTCCATAGTGTGAATATATATATATATATATATAGTATTATCTGCATTTCCTTTAGTTTGGTATCATGTTCTGATCTGTTCTTTGTCTATTTATAGCTTAGCTAGGCTTTGCACAAATCTAGTCCCTTTATATCTTTTACGTTTGTGCTTTTGAGTGAATTGTGTATGTATCTGTGCCCATATGCCAGTGTGTGTGTTCCAGCAGGGGCCTGTACTTTCTGCTAACTGACCCATTTTCCACCGCCTCATGGGGGGGGATGAAAGGCAGTGTGGTGCTTTGCTCTTTCAATCTCTTTTCTCATCAAAGAGAGAGGGAGAGCTGCTCAAATGCACCTTATTCAGTGTTCAAATCCCTCTATCCCAGCATCCCCACATCAGCTTTCATCGCAGCTCTGTTGGTGCCTTCATAACTGCCTTTTAATGTCTAAACAGTCACCGTTTAAAGTTTTGTAACGGGTTTGCGTGAGCTGACACAGAAAGCCAAGCATTTCTACTGTGTTGCAGGGCTGCGATTCATATTTAATGCAATGCGGATAGTGTGTGAGAGTGTGTGTCGAAGCGTAGGAGGGAAGCTGCATCCGAGGGTGCGTTTTTGAACGTAGAAAGAGCATGAAAGTGTCTTTTATATTCCACTGCAGTGTCAATTCCCTTTTGGCTTTGCTAGTTTTCTGATCTCCATTTTAGCAATGACCTGCAAAAACGCTAACATAGAATGAGTCTCTCAATGCCGTTTTGTTTCAGATTTTGAGCTGTAGAGTCAAGGTTGATGAAAGGGCTGGAAGTAAAATCTGCTCTCAGGAAAAGTGACCTATGTGATGGTCATATGACAGAAGGGCTGCTTGATGTGTCATTTTCACACGCAATGTTTTGCTACGGACATGGTTTCAGTTAACTTAAAGTTCAGTATCCGTAAGATTTGTAGTTTTCTGAACTCAGCATGAAAGTGGGGCAGTGGAGGTCTTGTTTTGTATGGAATTACCTCTTTATTAGCTCTTTCTGCAAAAACGTACAGCTACACTGACAAATTTTGATTGTTTTTCCATAGCAAATACACATTCTTTCTCAGCTGCAGCCAGGAACACTGTGGGTGCTTTCCTTTCCTTCTCTTTTTATAGAATAAAAATAATAGTATATGCATTATTCAGGTCATGACACATATTTCATTACAAAGAGTTTTGTCCAAGGCTTCCTCACTGTGCCAGCAGATGGTGTAAACCTACAAGGATTGCATTTGACAATTGACTTGCCATTAAATAAAATTATTGGTATTATTTTTTTTTTCTTTTCTTCTGGGAGTCAGATTTGCAGTATGTAACCAGATAATTTGTTAATGTAATTACCTTTTTATACATTTAATATTTAATATTTATATATAAATATTAAAGGAACACGCCACTATTTTTTAAAATAGGCTCATTTTCCAACTCCCCTAGAGTTAAACAGTTGAGTTTTATCGTTTTCGAATCCATTCAGCCGATCTCCGGGTCTGGCGTAGCACTTTTAGCTGTAGCTTAGCATAGATCATTGAATCTGATTAGACCATTAGCATCTTGCTCAAAAATGACTAAAGAGTTTCTATATTTTTCCTATTTAAAACTTGACTCTTCTGTAGTTACATCGTGTACTAAGACCATGGGTGCAGCAGGCGCAATGATACTACGCAGTGCCTGAAAATAGGCTAACTTCCGTCAACACAACCAACGTGACCACCTGCTTGCAAAGGCAGCGTGATGGGGACTATTTTCATTCGCTGCGTAATATCATTGCGCCTGCTGTACCCATGGTACGGCAGCAAAGTTCCTTGATTATTACGCCGGAATGAGAATATAGTTCCTAGCCATATCGACCTAGAAAATCTCAACTTTTCATTTTCCATCGGTCTTAGTACACGATGTGAAGAGTCAAGTTTTAAATAGGAAAAAATATAGAAACTATTTGGTCATTTTTGAGCGAGATGCTAACAGTTTAATCAGATTCAATGATCTATGCTAAGCTACAGCTAAAAGTGCTACCGCTAGACCCGGAGATCGGCTGAATGGATTCAAAAACGGTAAAACTCAACTGTTTAACTCTAGGGGAGTTGGAAAATGAGCCTATTTTAAAAAAATAGTGTAGTGTTCCTTTAACAAATATTAACATTTATTTTAAAAAATGTGAACCGTTATTGGAGGGGTAACATTTCTGTTCATTTGTAAACCTTTTAATTTAAAAAATAAATGCATTATTTATTTGTGTTTAATATTATATTTTTTATATATTATTTATTTATGCAAAACCGTAATACTACTTTTTTTTTTTTTTTTTTTATACAAAATCATTTGACTAATTTATTCACTTTAATATTGTTTAATATTATTCATGTTATGTATAATTAGAATTATTCATGTTTCCTATTAACAAATGTAACAAATATTCATAATTTATTTATTAAATGATGTGAACATTTATTGCAGAGGTAACATGTAAGTTCATTAGAAATATGTTTGACGGGTAAAACGGTCATTCCCTTGTGTTTAAGTAGCACATCTGCTTATTTTGCTGCTGTTTTATTGCTTCATCACAATTAGAAATGTTCCATTACAGGATCATTCAAAGCTGTTTGGTGTATAAATTCACTGTATTGGTCTATAAAGAGCTGAACAGGGTAAAGTGCCTGATCTTCATAACTTTTTAGGTAAGAGTTTCTGTTTAAATAGTTAACCTTCCTCCAAAGGTAAATCTGTCACTCGGGTTCTGTTCTTAACCAGAATTCACTTGTGTAACAATAGAGGAGCTTTGTGTATGTGGTTTCTATGAAAACCGATATGAGTGATATCTCACTGTCTTTCTTTCAACTTGCCGCCTGGATTCTAGATAACAGGTAAAACAGTGATCAAGACATGGACTGGATCCTTGTTCTCTCACTGCTTTTCCCCTCTAAGCTTTAGCTAATAATGCGGATCAGAGATTCTGTGCAGGCTGCACCTGCGAAGCTCTGTGGTCCGTATCAGGGATCTTACATGGTGCAGGAGTGTTGAAACCCGCCAATCATGAGGCCTGTCGACACCCTGCCACTGGACCGCAGCAATAAACAGGGTCTTTTTTCCCCCTGAGCCTTTTATCTCAGATGAAAGTCTCTCCCTCGTGAGTCTTGCCAACCCTTCCAAGTGCAGCAAATGGGCCAGAGAACACCTGCTAAAGTCAGCATGTTTCTACTGTACATCCCTCAGTACATCATGCTCCTTCTCTCTCTATTTCTCTTTATTTTCTCTCTGTCTGTCCACCCACCTTGCTGTGGGATCCTCTCTTCTCTCAGGCCTGAGCTTTCCTTGAGAAGGTTAAGTTGGCACTTGTTAAACTGCTTCTGCTCTGTCAAAATAGGTAAACATTTTCAAGATGATTTGCCTTTATGCTCCTATACTCCTTAATAATGAATTTGTAATTTAAATTAGGGATGTTTTTAGGGTTGTCAGCTGACTTTAGATTTTCTTATTTAAATGTATCGGTTGTCGTTGTTTATATATTGGCAGATATTGTATACTATTTTTAGATTTAGATTATACTGTTGTTCAAAAGTTTGGAGTTAGTATGTTTTTTAAATACCTTTGTTTAGCAAGGATGAATTAAATTAATCGAAAGTGACAGTAAAGATGTTGTTTAAAAAGTTCTATTCTAAATAATTGCTGTTCTTTTAAACTTTTTGTACATCAAAAAATCCTGAGAAAAGTATCAGTTTCCCCATTAATATTAAGCAGCACTATTTTCAAATTTGATTGTTGGAAATGTTTCTTGAGCACCAAATCAGCATGTCAGGATGATATCTGAAGGATCATGTGACACTGATAGCTGGAATAATGGCTGATGATATTTCAACTTTGTCATCACAGGAATACATTTCATTTTAAAATATATTCAAATAGAAAGCAGTTATTTTAAACTGTAATACTATTTCACAATATTACCGATTTTACTGGATTTTGAAGTTAATCTTTAAAACCACTAATCATTTTATATAACATTTGTAATCTTTAGCAAATAATCATAATACTATTTTTCATACTGTTTATTATAACATTGTGATGCCTAAATTTAGTTCTCTTATTGCCATTTTATTTATTAACATAGTGTAGGATTTAATATTGACCATTTATTGGTTATCAACCAATAGTATTGACTTATCGTATTGATAAAATGTTAAAATTTGTGCATTCCTAATTAAAACCTCACACATTTACAATAGGTCTCTTCATGGTTTTTGCTATATAAAACATTCTGGTTTGGTTTATGGTAAATGTGCGAGAATTACTTGTAGTATATTATAGTCCAAACCACTCACAAAGCACACTAAATCAGTGTGGGCTCTTTTGGCTTGCTGAGAAGACAGGTGGTTCCTTGCATGCTACATTCTCTTCAAACCAGGGCCCTTGAAACATAATTTTATTAAAGCAGCTTTCACGGTCTGGCCTGCAATTATCAGATTCCTGTGTCTTTCTTGGCCATGAATTAAAAAAGGAAGAAGCAAAGACAGGTCCAGAATACTCTAGATAGTGTTCACTTTGAAATAGATATACAGCTCTTTTTTTCCCCCAGTGCTCTAAATTTGTGAGCATGAGCTCCAAGTGTGTTATTTTTAGGATATTACGGTTTGCGAATTCAGATAAGAAACCGATTTCCACATCTTTGAATCTGTATAAAATGTATTTAGTGTATTATCACTGCTGCTGTTGAATTATGCATGACGTGAGGCTTTTTTCCTCAAGTTTGGGAGAACATCTGTATGTTTTGAAGACACATTAGGCAAAATCTCAGTGTTTGTAACTAGTGCAACCGCGGCTCTGCTTTCATTTCATGGCGTGCAGTGGGAAAACTTACACTGGAGAATTTTTCTGCAATCAATCAGGCTCCTGGGTCACCCAGCGGTGCCACATGCCATTCAAAATAACTGTACTCCAACGTCATTTGTATTCAGCTGCATGCAAAAATATGCAGAAAGATTGATGTAATAGAACATAGAAACATGCTTGATGCTTTCGCATTACTTCTGTGTAGGCTCTCTGTTATATATTTCATATGTAACGTGGGGTGTGCCTGCTTTATATTCCATTCTCTGTGTTAAGTATTCAGGAGGTATGAAGGCATGCATTCACATTGATGATAGAACATGTGAAGGGCGATGTGTTGCATCAAGAGTGTGTAGTGCATACCTAGGCTTCTAAGCCTGCTTCTCTTTATGACAGTCCTGTGGCTGTGATGAAAGGACGAGGCATGTTTGAAGTCGGACAACATCGTCTGCAGAGGTGTATAATTTGCTTAAACTGATTTTCTATAGTCTCACTGGTGCAGAGGTTTGAAGCTCTACAGTCAGAGCAGAATTGAAAGAACTGGACCACAATTGGTGTGTAAATCTATGGCGTAAATCTTTTTTTTTTTTTTTTTAGTCCTGTGGAATAAAAAAAAGATAAAAAATCCAGTTCATACATAGAATAATTTAAATACATATCTTTTATGATGCTCAAGTTTTTAATTTAGCCTATTTTAAATTATTTGTTTTATTTTTTTGAAGTAAAATAATATCAGCAGGATACAACTGTAATATCTTAATAAAGAAATATGTCTTATTACAAGAAAGAAATTCTTGTTAAAAAAGCATTTTGACATTTCTGGCAATCCTTTTTTTCCTTAGATTTTTTTAAACAACTTTTTCTCTATTTAAATATTCATATATTTAAGTACTTAATATTTGAAAAGCTGTTGTCCACTAAATCAAAATTATACGGGGAAAAAACATGTATGAAAAAAGATATCTTAATAAAGAAATGTGTCTTATTACAAGAAAGAAATTCTTGTTAAAAAAGCATTTTGACATTTCTGGCAATCCTTTTTTTCCTTAGATTTTTTTTAAACAACTTTTTCTCTATTTAAATATTCATATATTTAAGTACTTAATATTTGAAAAGCTGTTGTCCACTAAATCAAAATTATACGGGGAAAAAACATGTATGAAAAAACTAAACAAAACAAAAGCAGAAGGGGAATTTTTTTTTTGGGGGGCGAAATGTTTTGGGAAAAAGTAAAAACTTTTTACTTTATAGATACAACACAGAACATTTTTGGGGTCTTTAAATTGAAACTCTTATTGAAAATGGAAGCTTTTCAAAATTTAAAACCAACATGAACACAAAGATTAGAGTTCCAAGAACTTGGCACATTTGTTTAAAACTCAAAAATGCTGTGTGTACAAGAGATCCACAAACGTACATTTTGTGATTTGTTTTGATTCTATGGGAATATTGTATGCAAAACAGTCATGCCAATTAATTTCTTTTGAAATGGAAATTGAAACTATTCTAATCATGGGAATAATGTTAATAACTCCTATGGTTTTACAAAAGAGGCTTCACAACATGTATCTGTATCTTGAATTATTGAGATGAGGGGATTTAGGCCTTTGGACGGGAGAGCAGTAGATGAAGACTGCTGGAGTAGATGGAAGCTTCGCAGGGGCAGGTGGGGCTCCACTGGTGAGTTAGGGGGAGGGCAGGGGGGAGGTGATGCTGAGAAAAGCTGTACAGAGTGGATCCTAATGAGCCTTTTCTAATCCGCCCAAATCTTTGTAACAATCCCACAAATGCCAAGCCGGAGTTTGAAGGCGAAAGGAAGACACGGGGATATGAGTGGCGAGATAAGAGGGGTAATCTTCAACACCCACACATCCCTCCTCACAGACAGAAGGGGTGATGGAGAGGTGGCCGGAGGGCAGATGAAAGTGCTGCTCGACCCCAAGTACGTTCTGACTGCTTATGCCATATGATGTGATTAGTCCAAATATACTACACTCTTAAAAATAAAGGTGCTTCAAAAGGTTCTTCAAGCGATGCCATAGAAGAACCATTTTTGGTTCCACATAGAACCATTCAGTCATAGGTTCTTTAAAGAACCTATGACTGAATGGTTCTATGTGGAACCAAAAATGGTTCTTCTATGGCATCGTGAAGCACCTTTATTTTTAAGAGTGTGTAAATACTGTCACATGATACTACAGCATTTTAGTATACAAAAGTGCAAGTGAACCATTTTAATAATTATCTTATTATTAATAATAATTACTAATAAATGAAATAAACCTGTGACATGTTATTCCTATCTCCTGTCCTTTTCACACAGTGATGCTTTTTTTCCCTTAAGTGCTAAAGCATCAATAAAACAAACCATTATCTCACGGTATTCGTGAGTATACACAGTTTAAACGATAACATATGCGCAAAAAAAGTACTTTGTGTGTAGCGTGTTTTTTCTTTCTCATGTGAGCCCGGGTGGGTTTCAAGTTTTTGATTGACAGAGACGTGGGAACCCCACCCCCGCGCGTCCGCTGGATAATGCGATGTCCAGGAGTGGAGTAGATTCACTTCAAACTAATTCTCGAGTGTTTTATCTTGACACACCAAAGCAAATACACGCGCTCGCATTGCAGCTACGTTTATGTGAAGCACAACTTTATGTGTGCCACTGCGTAGGTTTATTGCTTAACATATTTCTGCGTGCAGGAGTTTACCTTCACAAGTTCGACATGTGTTTGATATTTCTCTCATGCACCAATTATAAACATTATATAGGTAACTACAAAAATAATGTCAGATGCCGTATGAGAATCTGAATAAATGATGCAAGTCGCATGAAACAGCACTAGTGTGAAAAGCGTCTTGGAGGATCCGTTCCGGGTTTTTCTTCCGCTCTGACTGGATGATTTGTGTGGATATGGAGCACACGGGGCAGATAGAGGAGAGAGAAGGTTATGGATCCGTAGCTCTTGCCGCTGTCTGTCTCTTTTCTCGGGACTGTCGTTTTGAATAAGGCGAGGGTCGAGCTTCGAGTCGTGCATGGTACATTTGAATGAAAGTAGGGACGCACAGCCGCTGGAAACAAAGGCGCGCCGGGTCCGGTGCAAAGGAGCAAGCTGGCTGCGCGGCGGGGGATGCAGGGCACAATAGGGAAGATCACACTCTTCTGCTTTTGGAGGACAGTGTTGGAATAACATTTCCCCCTAGACAGACTAGCCTCGCAGCGGGAAACAGGAATTTGAAGCTGGACTTTACTTTTCAGGCAAATGTTTTGTGAACATGAGGACGGGCTTTGCACTGGACGTCTAGGAGACTTGATGGGGCTCTTTCAGGATTTTTAGATTGCGCAAATAGTCTCAAAAACGCACCGGCACAGCAAAGGAACATTTTGCGCACCAACGCGATTTTGAGCTGAGATTGTTTAATATCATTATTATTATGCGCTCTGGAGATCACCAGCTGTGGGTGAAATCACGCTAGAAACATATTTTGCGTGAATTAATTTACTTGGATTTGGTTTCTGAAGAATGTACTTACTTGATGGTAATTACCCGGAAAGGATGGAGCGGGGTACGCCACAAAGAAAAACCGTGTACCGGATATCTTTGACACTAGTGAAAAAAGAAACTCTGCAGGATGGCGGAGGCTCCGCGCACCGGCAGCTGGAGAACCCTAAAGTGAGCGCGTACCGGCGGGAGGGAGCCGCTGACGCTCAGCGCAGCTCACCGCTGGAAGAACTGAAAGAAGTGGAGGACGAGACGGACGAATTTTCTGCACACTCATACATGAGGAACTTCAGGACATTTAGTACTGGACATCTAGAGTTGGGCAGGTTGAAAATCTCAAGGAGGGCGCAGTATTCACATAAAGACAAGGAATTAAATGAAACGTGCATCCTGCCAGAGAATGGACAGAGCAAGGTCATTGAAAACGGGGCACTAGTGCACAAAAAGGCAGATGATGTAGCTGAAAGTGACAGATTGAAATGTGATGCTGAGCATGGAGAAATCTGCATTACAGCTGCTGCTAATAGAGGAAACACAGACATTCGAAACAAAATCCTCAAGACTTCCCGGAGCACAGAGGAACCGGTCAGTACATGGTCAGATGATACCTCAGAGGAACCCAAGGGTGGCAGGATGGCCAAAGAGAGCTGCATCTCTTATTTGCAGGCTAAAGGGAATGGGAAGTCACCCAAACCAGCACCTGAAACCCCTCCGGTGAAGAGCCACCCAAGCCTCCTGCGGCGAAGTTTCAGCTTTCGCCACTGGACAGGTGGAGAGTTGATCCGCATACGGGCGCTTTCCAAAGAGAAGCACCACAGCAGCTCGGGCTGCATTGGCCATGATGGAGAGCACAGTCAGGTCCAGGCTGGCGTAGTTCTTCAAAACATGGCTTTCGCCGAGTCTGAGTCCACTGAGAAGCGAAACACCTTGGATGTGGGTGAGGTCTTGAGCAAAACTGACTCCATGACTGAACTGGGCCGTATGGAGAGGATGAAGGGCAAGAATCGAACGCTGGACAACAGTGACCTGCTCAAGCTGTCGGATAAATCGTTGATGGACAAGGAGGGTTTTATTAGAGGGACAGGCTCCCGTTCCAGCGGGCAGGAACGTAAACTCATTCGGTTCTTCAGCGGTATCTTCTCAAAGCGAGAAGGGACATCCACACCACTTAGCAGCCCCAGCAACCGGGCTCTCCGGAAGAATGGCCTACTGGGAAGTCAGCGGAGATCAGAAATGAGCTGCTCACAGTCCAGTACCGAAAGTGTTAACGGATGCCAACCGGACGGTAATAGCTGTTATCTTTGCTCTGTTTTTTGGCTTCATGTAAGCATGAGGCAGGAGGATGCTCTGTTTGCTATTGTGGACTTAGGACGGTGGTTAGAGGATGCATGTTTGTTTTGGACAGGAAGGTGTTGTTTAGTCCCCACTTCGCAGGCCGCCTGTATTTGTGTTTCATTATGCTGCAAGCTTGCAGCTTACTCTGAGAGCTGGCAGCCTTGTTTGCAATGGCAGGTGTTTACATTCTTGAACCATGAATGTAAAAACCTTCATTAAGTGCTGTATCCGTTAGCCTGCTCTATATATTTTGCTGGCAATGCACAATGTCAGAGTGACAGTTTCTTCCACTTGTGTTTTCTTCTGGAAGTTTAGAGTTAATATAAGTGGATTGCACTATTCACACAAACACCTTTTTCCTTGTTGTTTCGGATCCATTATCTCACTGTCATTGTTACTGGTGGCAGCAGGTCGCCTGTGAAGGCCACCACCCTCTCCTATCATTAATAATGCAGAGCTGCTGTAGATACTGTGTAGAGATTCATAGAGATTTGAATGGATTACCACACACCGTTTTGTGACTGAGGTCAGCAGACCGCCAAGAAAAGCAGATTGTCTGTCTGCAAAATATGACACTTTTTTCTTTCTTAGTATGTAGATCCCCTTACAAGGATCCCCCATACTAAATTACAATCACAGCAATGCAATTCAGTCTTGAAAGACAATTTTATACAGGTATTAACAGTCAAATTATAGAGAATGAAATAACTGGCTTTTATGTTGTCACTGTTCTCACACTATTGCACATTCTATTATCTCTAGAATATTTACTTGGAACTAAGTTGACTGATTAGAGTAATGTTAGGTGTATAAACCTTTAAAATAATAAAATACTTTTAAGTAAAAATAATCCAGTCAAAATAAAAGAATTGTGATGTATGCTCATGATTTATAAGGAGTGTTTAGATAGCATAATGAAACAGTAATATCACATTTTGGTACAATTATTAAGAAATATAAATAAAATAATACTTTATTATTTTAAAGTAATTCTTAACACTGTTAATTTGGCAACCCCAAAAATACGAAACCCCTGCTTTGGGTCATACTGTCTGTTCCTGCATAGATTAGTGAATGAAAAATCTTAGACAGGAAATTAACAATATACCTTTCTGTTTGAGTTTTGTAATACGATGGTGATGCAGTCTTGATTAGATTGGAAGTATTTTATTTTTTTTAAGTTTGTGTCAGTGACGTAGCTCAGCAGAGGGATTATTTCAGGGCCGTGTTAATGATCAGGTCAGCACTAGTGCCTGTAACAAGGCATGTAGTAAAACCTTAGTTGATTAGCCGTTTCCACATTCCTTAGATTCCAGAGACATTCTTGACTCGTCTGAAGAAATACATTCTTGCCAATTAGATAATGATCATCTTACATTAGAGCAGTGTCATGTTTCCTTCTAAATGAGTGGCTTTACCTGGATCTGTTTAGTGATGCACCAGTCTATCTGATCCATCCAATCTATTGCTATTTTCTGAAATTCAGGGCTGATATTTTAAATAGTGTTATGCAAAATGTAAACATATGGAGGCAATGATTATGAATAACACAGTACTTTCTCAGCACCCTGCGCATGATGCACCAAAGCATATTCACTTTCATTATAATGAAAAGAGTGGCCAGAATATTCTTTGAAAATTCATCTTTTGTTTTCCACATAATATAGAATGTCATACAGGAATCACATACCAGGGACTAAATTACAGATTTTTAATTTTTGGGTATTTTTAAGAACTTACCATGTTGTATGTTCATTGCAAAAAGTTTATTCTGCAATTTGGTTGATTTTTAGGGATTTCAGCCGATCATTAGTAGTTTGTGTAACACTAACACTAATGAGAGTAAACAAATCAAATTCAAATTCTGATTGATTGCATTTCTAAAATGGTTTTCATTTTTGCTATCAAAGCAAAGCTATGTTAGGCATTAGGGCATTTATTTTTAGTTAGTTGCTTGTTTCATGACTCAGCCGGTGTGTGTATCTCTGACGTTTCCTCTGCATCTCATCCTCTTCCTCAACCTTGGAGTCATTAGTTCGGTTCAGTTCAGTTAGCATTGCTGTGTTAGTTAGCAGCCGGATGGGGTATGACTTTCATTCATTTGGCTCTGTGCGAGCAGGATGTGAGATGGTACTGCAAAGTCAGCGTTATATAGTCCTGCAGGGTGTATTCCCAGATCCCAGATGGGTCCTACATATGGATTTGTTTATAGGCAGCTGATGTCCTCAGAGGGCGCTGTCCTATAGCTCGAATGTGCAGCGAGGAATCATTCAAAACAAGAGCAGAAATGTGCGATATGATTCACGATACTGATTTCACAATATGATTCTCACAATTTTTTAATTATAAATGAAATGGTGTCCTTTTATTATTTCTTAGACAAAATGCTGCACATTTGTTTGGAAAGTTGAAATGTGTCAAATAACACAATTACATTGACATTTTAAAACAAATCCCAAATCAAATAAATAAATAATACAAAAAATAATATTTTTCTTCATATAAACAAGGCTTTGCCTGTGGTCTTTCCCATTTAAAATTAGAGGCATCCACTGCATTTTTATCACGATCCAAACAAAAAGATGGTTCGTATGCAGCATTGAGCAGTTTTTGATTTAAATTAGATTGAATAATTAAAAATTTGAATCAAAAACAGAATGGTCTGACTTTAGCTTTGTAAAACTACTTTACCAAACATCTGAACAAAACAAAAACAGCAGACGGGCTGAATGAGAACGCAAATTCTCTCCCTGACAGCAGGTGGCTTTTATGGAACAGCAGAAATATAGCGTTTCCTTGGTTACCACTGTAAACAAAGCAGCTCTGCGTTTAATATGCATTATACCAAAGACTATAGAATACCCAAGATGTGCCACTCATATAGTTTTGAATGGGGAAAAATGCAACACTCAATATGGCCGCTCTATAGAACGAAGCCCCGCCTTCTGAGTAAAAGAGCCAATTGCTAATCGGTAAAGTCAGCGTGTTCAGACCTCTGTTTGCAGAACTCTAGATTTGAATTTGGGCAGTTAATCACCAAATGGATGCCTGTGACTTGGAAGGCAGGATGTCATAGTCAATGCTGCAGTTTTTATTATTTTTTTTACTGTAGTTCAGAGACACAAAATAAGAAATACACAACTGTGTTCATTTGTTTTGGACATTTTATCTGTACCCTGCATCCCAGGCAACGCACCTCTGTACACATCTGTGAGTGCATAAAGATAGAACCTGAAATAATGTTTCTGTGCCCAATTTGTCTCTTTACAGTAGCAGTGCCCTAGCGGCTCCCTACTGTACACCCTTTATCTTTTTCCCTTTTGCTTCTTTAAAATTTACAGATGGACTGAAAATTTTGGCCACCAGTATTTAATAATATTAATAAAAGTATTCAGTGTACCTCCCAATATTTTAAGAGTTGTTAGATGTTGCATTTGTAATGCCACTTGAAAGAAGAACAAGTATCACCACTTAGAATTTTTTTTTTCTTTCAGTTTCTGATTTTCAGCCCAGCGTTCACAATTTTTGCATTCAATTTCAGTATTCATTGTAGAAGCGCCGTTTACTTTAACATTGCTTTTGTTGGTGTCCACAAATTAGAGAAGAATGTCAATGTGGCTATAAAGCGATAATTCAACCAAACTTTTAATTAAAATTTACATAATTGGCTCACCCCAACATGTATTTTGTTCTTTTCCATGCAAATACAGTAAATGGATTGGAACTTTTAAGCTTCAAGTAGGATGCACAAGCAACATAAACATATCATAAAAGTAGTCTGTATGACTTTTTGCACTATGTTCCAAGTGTTCTGAATTTGTGCAGTAGCTTCATGTGATAAATAAACCAATATTTAAGTGATTATTCTCTGAAAATCTTCCCCTCTAATGTGCGGTTATTCACGCTGAGTGGATCATTTGAGTTAGTGAGTTGAACTCAAGAATTGGATCGCTCCAGTTTGTGAACTGGACATTGCTACACCTCTCATGAACTCTCATTAAAGTACCAGAGAGATCTAGGGTGGATTCCACTTCAAATGTTTATTGCGTTGCGTTTTTCCAAATCCTATAACATGTTAAAGGTGCGGGTCACATGAGCATGCAAAATAAGGTCCATTGTCAGTGTAGAGATGCATAGAGCACTGCTCACACACACACACACACACACACACACACACACACACACACACACACACACACACACACACACACACACACACACACACACACAAAAAAGAGAAAGGAAAAAAAAAAAAAC